GCCCGCGGGATGGACCCTCCTCATCCTGCCCCAAAGCGGCCCCTGCCCCAGGGCAAGGCAGGAGCCCCCGGCCAGCTGGGCCCTGTGCAGCGCGGGGTGCGCGCGGTGCTGATCCGGGCTGATCTGTGCTGTCCCCCAGCCTCAGGTGAGAGCTGTCCCCTGTTCCCTGCGTCCCAGGCCACGGTGGCGAGAGCAGAGCTCAGAGATGGGCACGAAGAGCCCTCTGTCCCCGAAGGAGCCCGGGAGGGATCGCTGAGGAGCAGCGGCCGCTGCGCAGGACATGGGGCGCTCAGGTCCCGCACTGGCTCCCCCCGTGGCACCCGGTGTCGGGAGGGATGAAGATCGCAGGAAGGGAGGAAATCGGGAGAGCCGGGCACAGACCCCGGCTCCGTGTCCCCCTTGACTGGGAGCAAACGGGTAGGGTGGGTTTGGTGCCCGCATCCGGGTGAGCGGTCCCCTGCACCGGAGCTGCAGGGATGTGGACCGGGGCCGCAGGGACCCGGGATGGAGCCAGCCCTGCTGCAAGTGCCAGCGCGGGATGTAAAGTGCAACAAGAGCCTCCGAGAGCGCCCATCAAATGCAGCTTATGGCGCTGCTTTTCTCAAATAGGTGCGAGCCAGGATGGATCAGGTGTGTGAGAAGGCAGTTTTGGGGAAAGAGGAGAGGAACGCAGGAGGTGGAGGCACAGCAGGAAACCAGCCCCAAGCCCAAGCCCGGCTCCCACAGGCCGGTGGCCCCTCCACGGAGGGGCCGCAGGAGCCCCGGGGGGTCCACAGCCTGGAAAGGGGCCCCCCTGCCCGTCCAGTCAGATCAGGGGAATCAGAGCAACCGCCCCGTCTTTTGGCGTCGAAAAGAAACACAAAACAAAATCCCCCTCAGCTTCCAAATCCCCATTTCCCGGTCTCTTTGGGCAAGCACTGCAGGAATTCTGTCCCGGAGGGCGGTTTTGAGCTCCGGCTGCACTGAGGGCCTTGTGGCTGGTGCTCGGCCGTGTCACCTCCCCGGGGACCGGAGGGCTGGCCCGGAGCTGCCCTGTTGCTTTGGCACCATTTTTTGATGCTTTAGGATATTTTTAGGCAGCTTAAAGCCCTTCCTGAACGCAGCCTCACCTGGTAAATAAACACACACAGAAACCCTCTTTTCAAGGCACTCGTTGAGCCCTTCCTGTCTGCACTCCCCTAAAACATCATCTTGACGCAACAGGGAAAGTTTGCTCCTAATTTTAAACCTCCTTTTCTCCCTCCCTCCCTGGCCCGGAGACAACGCGCAGCCGGCGGGGAGAGATCATGCAGATATTTTGACCTTAGGGACAGAGGAAATGAAACCCTGAATGGCAAAATCTCCCTCGAGAAAAGGAAATCTTATCTCAAAACCCCTCCGAGTCTGAAGCCGCCAGGAGGACGGGGTGTGCAGGGATGGAGGGAAGGGGATGACACCCGGGAGGGATTTAAAGGACAAAACGCACCCAAAGCTCCCAGGAAGCGCAAGAGGAGCCGGCGGGAGCGCGGGGAGCGCGGGGAGCGCACGGGTTCGGCAGTGCCCGGATGAGCGACACCCCCGCAGCACAAGGACACCTCGGAGAGCCCCCGGAGGAGGGAGAGTGCCCAGACCCCCCGGCGCCGCCTCCTCGCAGCCCCTTCCCCTCTCCCGGTCCCCACACGGGGTGACGCCGCAGGGCAAAGCGCCGGCAGCCCCGGGCCCCTCGGGCGAGCGCCGTCTCCTTTCAACCTTCACCTGCCACCGGCAGCAGCGCCCGCAGCCTCCTCTTCCTCGCCGGCGCCTGCAGCAGCAACCCAGAACAGTTGCGGTGCGCCCGACGCGGCACCGCGGAGCCCCGGACACCGGCACGGACCCCGCCCCGGCGCCGCTCGCGAAGGTCGAACGGGGATTAACCCAAAACAAGCGCCTGGCGCCCGCTGCCTTATGCAAGGTGCCCGGGGACTGCGGGGCGTCCCCGCTCTTTTCGCCACCCTCCGTTAAAAATAATAATAAAAACTTAAATTGAAGCCC